ATCTGGCATTTTTAATGTCATCTTCCAGATTATTCCATAATCTTATRCYCTTTACTCCGTTCCTTTAAACTGGTYCTAAATTTGGGTTTAACAAACATCTCARTCCCTTTGAGATYATAACAAGTCTCTCTTTTAACAAAGTGTAATTAAATGTTTGAAGRCAATGTSTTTTYATGAGCTCTAACTGRTAAAATACCATAATCAACCAATAGAGTTTCAATAACTTCAACTGATGGARCAATGAATTTGATGGGTGTCAGTAATAAGTTCTGGTGATAATTCTTACAGCAATTTAAAATACTTTTTTTTTTGTTTTGTTTTGCACGTGTTTTGTAAAGACCCTGTCACACTATAAAGTTTTTGACAACTTATGAAGATTTAAAAAACCTCTATTGAAGACAGAATTCTAACAAATTTATCAAATATATAACTTTTATTAGAAGTTGAACAAAAAAAATGGAAAAGTTGTATGCAATGATATAATGTGACAGGGCCTTAATATTCACCACAACAATGTTTTATGCAGCTCAAAGCTTAAAGTTAAACAGATCATTTAACGTCACAAATCACTGTATTTGTTAATAATCAGAGCCTCCTGTTGGTTTCCTGCAGGGACACCTGAGAAGGACACCGTGTGCCACGTTTGCTCCAAAGACACCTTCTCTGATGCCTCCTCTGCTCAGGACAGCTGTAAGCTGCACAGGAGCTGCAGCGATGCGGGGCTGCAGCTGGTGCTGAACGGCTCCAGCTGGCACGACAGMGTGTGTGCCAACTGTGAAGAGCTTAAAGGTCAGAGTTGCACAAGGAAAGCTTTTCTAAGCAAACAGAAGATAGTGGTGTATAATGCTTTTTGTAGAGCTTGACAAAACATCTGATGACACTATGTTGGAAAAACGTTTCTAATGATAGCAAGTTGATTTCTGCTTCACTAGGGTTGACTTTTTTTTTACAATATTTCTAAAAATACTGCAGCTTCTATTGATAACAGTCAACTAATTTCATTGTACACAATAAATACATGTGCAAATATATCAGTTACTCCATCAGTTGGGAAGTCCCATTGAAAACCTCTGTTTAACCATTTTGTGTTCTGGAACCTGAACATGAAAAGAGCACAATAAATGTGACCCAGAATATCGAAATGAGGATTAAGTCAAATTTGGACAAAATGATATAACTACATTTTCAGACTCCTGGCTTTAAAAGCTATATTTTCATATCTGGATCATCCTGACATCTTAAGCTTATCCAGAGATTTGACTTAATTTGTCTTATTGGTTATGATGAAGCAGAACTGTTTGGTCTGAATCCAAATTTCATGTAAATTTATTGAGTAATTTTTATGTTAACTTAAAGAGGAAACATCAAGTGTTATTTGTATGTTGGATTTCCCAGTTGGAAAGAAACAAAACATTTCTAGCTCACAGGGAAACATTCACAATTTTAAAGCGTTTTATCCTCAAAATCAGGTTTTTTTTATTGCTACGGCTCAAAAAAATGCTTCAATTTTTTTTAGGATTAAATTTCACACAATTCCTTCAAATGATACAGTACATTGATAAGGCATTAATTCATTATATTCTGACAAAATGCAATTTTTGCAAACATTAAAAATCAAAAATGTATTTGTTTTATATTATTTATAATAATTTTTCTTATTTTTCAACATTCCACTTTTGGACTTAATCCTTGTTTTGATGTAATGGGTCACAAACTAATTTATAAGCAGCATCTAATTAATTTGTGATGCTTTATATGACCTCAGTGCATTAACAGCCAACTAAATATCACTACCTTGTAAACAAGTMTGCATATAAGTCATTCTAATGTGTTGTTTGGATCGTCTCAACTTATATTCTGGTGTAGTCTTTCAGAACATGGAAAATATAGAGATATGTTTATTTATTTGCTAGGGGTGCAACAATACATGTACCCGTATCGAACTGTTCAATACAGTGCTTTAGGTTCAATTTTTAAACTTATTTTATAAACTTATTTTCTGAAGGTGCTCTGTGTTGAAGGATCAGAGGATCTGTGTTCGACTACTCCACCTAGGCTGTGTTTTCGAGCACAAATCCACTGAGAAACTTGCTGTTTCAGCAACGTTTTAATTAAAATTTAATTGAAAAACAGTACTTTTGAGGTTCAATAAATGTTCATAAATAATTTCAATAAATTACAATTTAAAAGGGGGATGGAAATTTCTGTTATTTGTATAAAGAAAATATCAAACCGTGAGACTAAAGCATCGAACCGAACCGAATTATGACTTTTCTGTATCGTTGCAGCTCTATTATTTACCTTTATTTTAACCAAGAAATTTCCATTGAGGTCACAGATCTGTTTTGCAAGGGAGGTTTAGGCCTGAAGGCAATTTAATTTGTGTTTTTGGTCTTAAAAAAATCACAAATTTTCCAAATTAAAGCAACTGGACTGTAGTGCCAGGAGGACTGCGACCAGTTATACATCGGGGAAACAAAGCAGCCACTGTTCAAAAGAATGTCCCAACACAGACGA